TCCATAGGCTGAACTCTGCTGAGCATGTCAGACTTGTATAGAGAGCCAGGCGAACCTCCCAAAGTCTTATCCCAGCATATCCTGGGACAGGGTCTCTGGAATTGGGTCTCTATATAGAGTCATGGAAGATGAGGATTGGAAGAGACCTCAGGAGGTCACATCTAGTCTAACCCCTTGCTCCAAGCAGGGCCATCCCCAACTAGAGCATCCCAGCCAAGGCTTTGTCTAGTCGAGTCTTAAAAACCTGGAAGGATGGAGACCCCACCACGTCTCTGGGTAACCTGTTCCAGTGTTTTACTACCTTCCTATTGAGAGAGTTTTTTCCTAATACCAACCTAAACTTCCCCTGCTGCAACTTGAGCCCATTGCTCCTTGTTCTGTCATCTGCCACCACTGAGAAGAGTCCAGCTCCATCCTCTTCCGACCCTTCCAGTACTTAAAGGCTCCTATCGAATCCCCTCTCAGTCTTCTCTTCTCCAGACTAAATAAGCCCAGTTCCTTCAGCCTCTCCTCAGATATTGTGTGCCTCAGACCCCCAACCATTTTCATTGCCCTCCACTGGACTCTCTCCAACTTGTCCACATCCTTTTGGAGGCCTGAAACAGCTTTTCCTCCTCTGCTCCAAAGTACTTGGTCAGATGCCCGGTGGGGCTGCCCACAGCGCAGTACATGTACTGCTGATAAGCACCAGAGGTTGCTCTGGTCCCTCAGGAAGTGCATTAATCAAGGTACGGTGGATCTGTAGGCTGGGCTTGCTCTTATGTTCTACAGAGCTCCAGCTCTTCCCCACTATGAATATATGTACGGTTTTCTAGGTAGCCATGAAAACCCCTTTGCAGGGGCCTGTGCCCTGTATACCGGCAATGCTGCAGTCGAGTCAGTGCTCTGGGACTGTATTTGTTGATGTTTGCGTGGCAACTGCTGCCAAGATTTAGCCCAGCTGGATGCTGGGGCGTGTGGGGGACAACATACATCAGAAAGTCTATGGGGCTGCCATTGTAGTTGGAGAAAATGGTCCCAATGTTTCTTCCTTCAGTTGGAGGGTGGGCAGAGGTGATTAGCACTGCCCTGACTGTGCTGGCGGAGGGGTCATCTGCTTGAGTACATCCCCTCGTCCATCATACAGCTGCCCCTACCTATCCCTTAGTGGAAATCTTAAAAGGCAGAGGTAATGCTGCCAATCCTCTCTTGAGAGGGAATCCCAGGCATGGGGTGGGGGGGGCACCAAACCAGTGCCCACAGCTGTAGTTTATATCTGCCAGCACCAGCTTGCTAGGCTCAGCCCTTCTGCCATCATCATGGGCACTGCTAAGGCACTGGCCGCAGGTTTCTTGTCTCTGGAGTACAGCTTGCCTTTCCCGGAGGCCTTTTGGGGTTTCACGTCAACACTGCACATCACCTCCTTTGCAGGAAACACAACCTTATTTTACCTCTACCATTTCCTGGCTCCCCCAGCCACAAAAAACAAAAAAAAAAGAGCAGCGAGTATTTTTATTTTTTGAGCTTCTAGCTGCTAGAAATTTGTACTGCGGTTAGTTGTTTCCTTGACTATTTACCTGCTTCTTATTCTGTCTTTCCGCTTCCTGGTTTTCTCATTCTTTCTTCTTTTCTGTTCTAATGAGCCATGGAGCCCGTCATTTCTTCCCAGGAAAAAGGTTAACCCATCTACACAAAGTTGCGCCAGCAAAATGCTCCTCAGCAAGTGGGTCATTGGGTTCCTTGCATCTCATGGTGAGCAGCTGGGAGAACCAGCTCCCTCAGGGGGCTGGTATGTGATCCCACATCAGGAAGGATGGAATAACTGAACTGGAGTCAGTGCCCAGATGGCTGGTGATGATGCATCAAAGTGCTCTCACACCCTCCCCAGAGCAGGTGGCAGATCCTAAGGATTAGTGTTTGGGTTTCTAACGTTTCTTTCAGTACCATCAAGGTGTCATATATGAAGCAGAAATAACACAAAATCTAGTTTCATTGGTGTATTTCAATCCCAAGGTGGGTACAAGTGCTGCAAAGGGATCTGTTTTCATACCACTTTAGCCTCCAAGTAAGAAAACCTAACAATGTCAATACTTTGCAGTTATACCAGGCCTTTTATCTTTCTGTCTCGCAGTACTTAGAGATGTATCATTGTGATGGTGCCATGAGATTTTGCAGCAAACTAACTATTGAAACCAGGCTTTTCATCAGCCAGTCCCCAAGACCCACATAAATATCATGTATGTCAATATTATCACCCCCATTTTAGAGATGGGAAAACCAAGGCACAGAGCAATGAAATGGCTTGCTCAGGGGGAGTCTGTGGCAGATCTGAGAATAGGACAAAAGGATTCTTGGTTTCCAGTGGGATAGGTGTCCAATGCAAAATGAAAGCCTAGAAAACACCATTTACACCAACAGAAAATATTTTCTATTTATTTTTGGACTCAAATTGGAAGACAGAACAAGAGAAACATCACATTGAACAACGGGGGAAAGAAACCTCCAAAATGGCCTGATGTCTCCAGGCTCTTGCCGATGGAACCCAGTCTCAGACTCCGGTTTATGGATGCTTCCGGATCTCATTGCTCAACCTAAACCTGGGCGGTTCTGCCACACTTCTAGAGATGCGTCGGCCCTTAAACGATATCCGGTGCTGCATCTTGCTGTCCATAATGATCAGGGCATACGTGACAACAAAGGAGAGCCAGAAGCAATCCATGAGGAGCCTCATTGCCAGCCCAAACCACTCCAAATGGCTTATAGAGAACAGGAGCTCCTGCACGGTCTTGTGTGTGAGAGGCACAAGAATGCAGTTGACCACGTCATAAAAGATGATCCAGCCCACGTAGACGAACATCCCTCTGTGAAGCCGCTTGGTAACTGAGTAGATAAGGAGGATGCACACTGGATAAGTTATGATGGCCAGGGCAATAGCTATGTAGTAGAAATATGGAATCATCAGCACCCGGCCTACTAAGACCACGCTTTTTTCTATTTCATTTCTAGCTCGTGCTAGATGGCCAGTCTCAAAGATCAGGTACATGTTTGTCATTAGGATCATGTAGATGGCAGCTAGAGAGGTGCCTGTTCTGGGGGTCATGCCACAGAACCCACCAGGGCACAAGAGATTCATGGTGTCTGTCTTCTTCGTAGGCACCTTCGCAAGCAAAGCAAATGGACTGAACAGCTCGGAGTGAAAAGGGAGGCTGGGAAAGAAGGCGTTGGGTCTTGTATTAGGAATGAACTCCAGTGAGCTGAAACCTGCATTGGACAAGAAAAAGATTAGGCACAAGCATTCTTGGGGTGGGGGTGAGAAATGGTAATGGAGGGGGCTGACAAAGGAATGTGACAACAATTAATTGCACCCTTAGTTTTAGAGTATCATCAAAGCTCTTTACAGGGAACAAAGAGGGAGAAGTGAGAGAGGGTGTGTAAATGCGTATGAGAAAGACGTGTCTCATTTCACTGTAACTTGGCTATGTCCTTCGTTAGCCTTTCCAATGAAGTCCGCATTCCCTAACTTCAGAGTGCAGTGAAGAGGTCTCTGGACAGGCAGCGGCTGGCTGGCTCATGGGATACATAGCTGAATTCCTTGGGCACCAGGTTGGGACTGAAGGGAATTGTATCACTGCATAATCACTGCTTGCGAACCTGGAGAGGAGTCTTTACTGTGTGACTCTACATAAATAATGGATACTTCAAAGAAGCCGTGTCCATAGCAGAGCTGGTGGCCCTCTCAGTGTGCACTAAGGGGATGAGGCATTGGCTTCTACTCTCAGCTCTGCCACTGGTCTCCTGGCTGGCCTTGAATACATTATTTGACTGCCCAGCCCATAGAAAAAGAGGTCCTGATTGTGACTTCCTTTGTAAAACTCTTTGTGAACATCTAGGGAGGAAAAGTCCACATTTGCACGAACAGTCACCATAAGTGTCTGTTGCATCAGTTTTCTGCTCTGATAGAGACTGGATCTTTTATTTGCTGTGATGTAATCCCTTGGCTTGGGACTCAGGCTTCAGGCTGATGATCAGGCATCTTGGGAGAACCATACATTCACATACCATGTTTTAAAGTATTACAGACATAGGCGGGGCAAACCCTAGGGGGCCTGAGCACTGCACCTCTCATGGTACTCTGTGATCCAAAACTTCACCAAGGACCTGACATCCAGGAGCCCGGCCACCAGCATCAGCACTGGAGTTTCAAATTAGCTCAGTGTCCTTGTGACACCACGGTAGGCAGAGCTCAGCCCTCAACCTTCCAAAATAAGAGCGGAGCTTTGAAAATCCAGCCCTGATTGCAGGTCCTTTCTGGAAAACTTGAACTTAGAATGCAATCAGCTCCTGCTGACATCAGCTGGCCAAATCCTGACCCTTTACTTGCCATCAGCTTCAGTTTTGCTCGGATGGAGTTTGCAACCCTATGCTTCAAGCTTTCCAACCCTGGAGAGGAACTTTTGTGATGGAGACGAAGGAGCTGGGCTGATGAGGATGGAGGGTGGATGAGGGTGACAGCGATGGAGCCATCAGCCCCTTTGCTCCGGCTATAGAAGAAAACATCAGTTACAGCCCTTTGTATTTTGTCTCCATCCTTCATTCCCAAAAAGTGGTAGTATTTCCCCCCACACCTCACAGGTTTGCCAAAGAGATCACATCAATGCTAACTTACCTCCTTTTCCAGCAGGAAATGGCGTGACCTCCTGATGAGGGGGTCCCTCTGCAGTGTCCTAGCACCAGCTGGATAGGGTACTGTATACGCAGCTGCTAAAGTGCTGAGGGGGATAGCACAGGGGATCCTCCCACTGTCTGGATGAACAAGTTAGTCTTCCAATGCTCTGCTTAGCCAGGACCCTAAGAAACAAAGACAGAACTTAGGAACTTCCCGCCCGGGTCAGATCCATGGTCCGTTTAGCCCAATCTCCTTCTCTGACAGCGCTCACACGTGGGACAATCCAACACAGTTACAATCATCTGGGGTCAAACAGAGGCATCTCATCCTGACTAGGCCAGGAACCAACTGGGCGAACCAGAAAAAGGGGTTGCCTTGCCTTGCTAAAGGCCAGCACCTCAGAAAAGGACCAGCGGCAAGCTTTTTCTCTAGTGACAGGATACCACTGGCATCTCCCAGCTCTGTTCTAGTAAGCGAAATCTCTGTGAAGTGCTCCCATTTCTGATCCCACCTGAAAGGGAAACCCTTATGGGCAACCCCAGACCCTGGGCTTGCGATGGGGTTGGATTCTATTTCGCCTTTTCACTTAGAAGAGTCTCTGTGCCATAAAGATTTCAAGCAGCTGTCCTCAAACTCTTAAACAGGTCCAATGCTACCAAACCTGAGGCTTTCACTGAAAATCCCTCAATGGTAGGGACATCATTATTGTCAACTTTCATTATTGTATTGCTATCCTCATGACATTGGGTGCTGTTCTGAAAGCCTCAGCACCTGGAGACGTGATTTGGTGAGACTCTCAGCTGTGTATGCCATGTGCGGTTTCTAGTCCTCATTTTTGTCAAGAAAAGCCTGAAAAGGCTCTGGAATAAGAAAGCAAAGGAAAAGAGCCCCCATTTATTATTTAAATAAAAAAATCTCCTGATTGTTGATGTTTTGTGTATTGGAGACAGATGCATGATTTTTTAATGCTTGGGGTTGATGGTGCTAGAACTTCCCTTGGACAGTGCCTAGCACAGAAGAAATCACAGAATCATAGAAAATGAGGGACCTCAGGAGGTCACATCCAGTCCAACCCCTGCTCAAAGCATGACCAGCCCCAGCTAGATCATCCCAGCCAGGGCTTTGTCCAGCTGGGTCTTAAAAAACTCCAAGGATGGAGCTGCCACCATCTCTCTAGGTAACCTGTTCAAGTGTCTTACTACCTTCCTAGTAAGAAAATTCTTCCTAAAACCTAACCTAAACTTCCCTTGCTGCAACTTAAGCCCGTCGCTCCTTGTACCATCATCTACCACCACTGAGAACAGTCCAGCTCCATCCTCTTTCGAACTAGTGTTGCCGACTGTTTAAATCTATCCCAGGAGGTTTCTGAAACACCAATGTGTCCGTGACACACAACACAAATGTGCCCATGTGCTAGCACATATCACTTACAGATTATGGTGCGTAGACTTGACATGAGGAAGGCCAACGCACATTACTATTACATTTTTAAAACCTACTGGATTACTGTGTAAATCAGATTCAACATTTAATATTTATTTTTAATGAATGCCTTCTCGTTTATCTGTTGGGTACCTCTAAGCAATCTCCTGGAGATTTCTTTCTAATTCCTGCAGACTCCAGGGCAATCCTGGAGGGTTGGCAACCCTATTTCGAACTCCCCTTCAGGTAGTTGAAGGTTGCTATTACATCCCCTCTCAGTCTCCTCTTGACAAGATTAAATAAACCCAGTTCCCCAGCCCCTCCTCATAAATGTAACCATTAGCAGAGCCCAAGATCACTCAAAATCGAGAACACTTTAAACATCCCATTTGCTTTGCACCACTGTTGTGTTTGCAACTACTGCAGCTTGGACACTTCCACTTATCTTGCCATTTTCACTTCCTGTTTCTTAGCCGGCAGCTGCAATGTTTAGGTTGCAGATTCAAAGGGGAATAGGTGACGCCCACATTATCACGGCTTTCATTGTAGCTTTGAAAAAAACAAGTGTTTGCTATTGAAAACCTGACATGATGAATTTTTGGTTCCTCTCACAAACACTTTTATATTATCAACAAACAAAATGTAGGGACTAGCCTAGGTTGTGTATGGGGATTCCTCCCCAAAGGGACTCAAATGAATGGCAATCTATTAGCGAATTCATTAATGCATGAATTAATTCATTGCCTGATAACACCAAGTAGCTGCAGTCTGGACCAAATGCTTGCATGTGTGTGTATGTTTTTGTCTGTTGGGTAGATACTATTTTTATTATTTTTATTTATTCCTGTTTGCATTTACAGGAATACCACCAAATGGGACTCCGTTGTGTCAGGTGCTCTACATATATAAAAATAACAGCAGATAATCCCTACCCCAAAGAGCTCACAAACAAATGAGATAGAAAAAGCATGGAAGAAAACAAGACTATCATTCTGCCCATTTTACAGATGAGGAACCAAAGACTTTATTTTACAAAGACACTGTTCACCTTGGGGAGGTTTGTGGGGAGCTGATATCATAAGAAAGATGGCCACTTTGTGGCATTGCCAACCTATAAAGCATGGTATATCATAAAGAGTACTGATTGGAGCCGTATACCAGCATAGTAAATGGCTTCTTCAGGCTTTAAAAAGAGGATGTGGGAAACACTGCAGTAGTGAGTAGTGTTACAGTAGATTGCTTCCAACAAGAGGCTCTAAAATAGCATATTGGTATGTGTCAGATGATATCTAGGAATTTAGATAGCTTTACTGTCTGAAAACACCTTGTGAGGGAGGACGGTACATCTGGAGGAAGGAACAGTGCCCGGCTCTCTCACTTTATGCTGAACAGTAACCAGGGAGCACTGGTTTGAGCCAGGGAGCACTCTTTTGCTCTGTTTGTACAGCCCCTAGCACCATGTGCCTCACACCTGATCTAGCTTGATGGGGCTCTGAGCATGGTGCTACCTTAAATCGGATGATGAATAATAGCAAGAATAGAGTCCACATAAACAGGCCCCTGCTCACTCACACACATGGTCACGGTTCCCAGATGGTATCTTGTCAACACAGAGTCTTTCTAAATGCAAACTCTGCCCAGATGTGGCTTTCAGCCACACTGGCCTGAGTCCAACATGACTGTACACACTTCGCTGGAATCTCCATGTGCCGGCTGCTTCTTCCCCTCACGCCCATTTTAGACCAGAGAGTTATACCCTCAGTCACTTGCGGTTTATATATTTGCATCACTGAGAACAGAATCTGGCCTAATACCTATATGAGATGCACTGAGAAAAAGCCAGAAATTCCCCTAAATTTTAGAGGTGGGCGGGTTTTGTTTTGTTTTGCTTTTTTATTTTTTTTAAGCTAATGTTTCAGTCACCGGGGGGGGAAAAAGGCAGTTTGAGGGAATCAAAATGATCTGGGAACTGGGAGCAAAATCAACCAGGAGCTTGGACTGCAAAAAAAGACAAATGAAAAAAAAAAAAAAAGGAAAAGCCCAAACATTTAATTTCAACATGCTCATAGCAAAACACGTGGATGTTGTGTTTTGAAGGCATGGTTTCATTTCCAAGGCCCAGGAGACTCTTCTTTTTACCCAGGGTTCAAGTACCCCCCAAACTGAAACAAACCTTCTCATTTCGAGTGGAACAAAAGATTGCAGTTGATCTGAAGTGAAACCGTTCTGCCTTGCTTTCTCACCATGATGAGAAACCTAACAAGTTCTCATTTTGATCAACACAGACCCACATTTTATACTTATTTTTCAGTTAAACCAGCAAACTGAAAAACACCTCTCTGTATATTGGTGCCAAACAGTTGTGCTTTCAGCCCTTGTGAGCATCCCCAGGGCAGAGTGCCCCAGCGCCAGCTTCTACCTGCCCTTTTATTCTGTTATGGGACGTGGAACCAAAGGCACTGGACCTACCATAAACTCAGTAGTGCTCACTCCCTGGCTCTTTGCTGACTGAAGGGAGGCCTGGGACACATGCAAACAGCCTTGTGACCCTGGGAGGGTTCGGATCTAAGGCCTGCATTACTTTCTAGTTGTTTTAGAGAGATCCTCTTCCCTTCTGTCTGGCTCTGCCCCAGGCAGCGGCCAGGTGCCTTGCCAATGAGCATCCCCACCTGCTTTGCCAATGAGCCCAATGAGCCTGGGCCCAAGAGGGATGTTCAGTCTCAATAACCCCTTTTGGTCTTTGGCTGACGCACCCAACAGAATGGCCTGAGTTAATCAGTTGTGCTGCTTTGGGTGACTGGCTGCTGCAAACTGGGATCACATTAGGAACAGGAGCTGCCCTCCGACGATGGATCCTGGCTTGCTCTGCTGATTTGTGATTGTTAAGCGATATCCTACATGCAGCAAGAAAGATGGCACCCCCTTCCTCTGAATTGTTTCCCTCCTTTCCTGCCCTCCATTATAGGTATCACTAGGGCAAAGACTCCCATTTTGAGTGCTGAGCCCCAAGTGGTTGACTGTTCAGCCCTGTGTGAGCTGGCCCAGGGCTGTGAATTCACCTGTTTGTGGTAAAACCAGGAGTCAGGCTAAATAAATTCTTAAGATGCTCAGTGTTTCTTTGCTTCCCACCTGATCTGGCAGGCTAGATCTTAAAAACCGAGCACTATCTCCCTTTGGGGGAGGTGACTGAGCTCTTCTGTTATCACATAATTTTTTTATATCATTAAAATAGATCTATATCTATATATATTTAGGTATATATATGCATCCTCTATCATAGACTTCCATTGCACCTTTTCTTATCCAACTACCTTAATAAACCCGCGCACCCCTTATAATAACCACACCCGTTCCACTGGGAGGAAGGGAATGGCTTGTAGACATTCCCATTCCCATGGGACGTTCCCATACACATTCCCAGATGGACTCAAGGAGGAAAGCCTGAGGGGCCTGTGAGCTGAAATGGAGGAAGCTGACATAAAATTCCCAAAGAGAGGGATTGCTGCCTGTCTTCCTGTGCATGCAGCTCTGATGGGATAGAAAGGCCAGGCCACCTGTCCCTAGATAGAGGGACTGTTCAGATGAACAGTTTTTCCACTGAACAGACTCTAGGTACGTAGAGCTGGTTTTCGAAGGTGTGCCTTGAGTGGAGGTGACTCAGTTCCTATCTGCGTGTTAAGTAGACCTGAATTGCAGAAGTGCGGAGCAACCGCCCCCTTGACATCAGAGGAACTTTCACATGCTCAGCACATCGGAAAACCCAGCTCCAAAGCGTCATAGATCTGAAAGTGGCCCCAGGTAGGGGCTGCTTTAGCCAAGGTTGGGTTTAAACTCTATGCCTGCACTTTCCAGTTCTTTGAATTGGGAAGAGTGGCACTGGCCTGGCTTCCCAGAGATCATGAACTTGGGAGGTTTCATTCATTCAGGTATGTCGAGGGCTAGAAAGTGCTATCGGTATAACCTGGCAGTATCCCTCGCGTGGGGTGTCATGCCCAGTGAGTTTGTTAAACATGTGGGAGAGAGAGATGAGATCCAGGTGCAGATGCAGATTTTGACTCTGATAGGGTTTCAGCAGGCAGTGTTTGAAACATGAGTCCTTCTCAGATCATTATTAAGAGCCAGGGCCATTTACAAATTCCAGCTGCAGAATTTCAGCCCTTCCAGCCATAGGGGTGCCAGTGTGTGACTCAGGCCCTTTTTGTCCAAGCCCTTGTATAACAATGACGGTGACCAGAAGACAATTGTCCTCCATTGCACGAGCTTGCCAAAGGTGACGATGGTAGCTCCTAGGAACCCCAGGGCCCCACTTTGTACAGAACAGAGTTGGCCTCAGCCCCAAGGAGCAAACAGTGACTCTGACTCAGCAAAACACTTAAGCATACGCCCAAGAACCGTGATGACTCAGGGGTTATAGATGCCACATCAGCATGACTCATCATGTTTACAGAGAAAACTTCAACAAGTAAAAATAAATGGAATTTTTAGCCCATCATAAAGAAGGCCAAGGAGTGACTCAGGCACAGTGTATAAATGCTTTCATGGGGAGAAAATACCAGATAATGATGAGCCCATTAATCCAGCAAAGAAAGGCATGACAAGAGTCTATAGCTGGAAGCAAAATGAAGGCACACTCAAGTTACAACTTAAGCAGTGTTTTTAACAGTGAGAGCGATGAATCCTAGAAAACACTACTGCGGGAAGTGAGGGATTCCTCATCACTTTGTATCCAGACTGGATGTCTTTGTGCATGATGTGTTTCAACCAAATATACTTTCCCCCTGCCTGGGAGCTCCTACACTAACTTTCCATTTCTTGCTTGGCTTTAAGTTTCCTTTCCTCTCCTTAGCCTTGAGAGGAAGAGGGAAGTGATTCTTGCCTCTTCACTTGCATTCTTGCTCAGAATTGAAAGCTGGCCTTTGTCTTCAGGCCGCTTCTGCCTTGGGAAATATTCTCTGATGCCCATTGCCCACAGAGTGATTCATTCAGATACAATGCTACACGGGGCTTGGGACTGACCAACATTGATGAACAGCAAAATCATACTGCCCTCTAGTGTCAGCCAAGCCAGCTGCCTTCATTATCCTTTACTATCAAAGGTGAGATGTTCAAAAGACATCAGAAAGTTGAGTGCTTAGTCTTTGGAAATTTGGCCAGACCTGGGGGTCCTGGGCCCTAGACACAAAGGTCTGTAGAAACCTATAAAAAAGTCTCCTCCTTAAGCATTTCACTTGAATGTTAAACTGAAAGGCAGAGTCCCATTCTCCTTGGCCTGGCCCTCGTTTTGCTGGGTGATTAGCGACCATGCGTGGTGCAGACTGTGAGAGACTCAGACCTGTTCTAGGAAGGAAGGAAGGAAGGAAGAAAGGAGTTGCAAACAATCATACGTTGCCCTTCTCAAGCATCTGACTTCTGAGGGGCTCAAAGTGCAGCAGGCATTCTGGGAGAAATCTTCATGGTTATTCTGGGATATGGGGCCATAAAATTCTCCCTATCTTCCAGAGGAGGCAACGGAGGCACCAAGAGAGAGAGGCAGTGACTTGTCTACGTTCATAAGGATATGCTCTCACGAGTCATTTTACCCTGAGCAGGTTTATTTTTAGTTGACAGGAGGCAGATGATGCACCTGTAAAGCTTTATTTGATGAAGCAGGCCACCGTTTACACCAGGGTATGCATCTTGGATTTAGTTAGTCTATAAGGTGGAAATCTACCCTGCCTTCAATCTTACTTTGGACATTCTACATGACTGGTTCAGGATACAAATGCCCGATCTACTCTGGCATATTTGTGTAGCCTGGGACAAATGTCTAGAAAGTGTCTAGATAGGCCTCTACAAAGCCCTTAACTATCTTGATTACCTCAAAGTAAAAAACATGCATGTAGACCAGCCCACTGAGAAAGGCTGTCAGAAAGACACAGTGTGTTCAAACCTACAGCACTTTGCTTCAGCACTCACCATCCCTCTCCACGTATTTGTGAAATAGCATAAGAGAAATAAACCAAGCTCAACAGAGAGAGAGATGTTGGCCCTGATTTTGAGAGGTTCTGAGCCAGCAGAATGGGACCATAGCATTAAATCTTCAATCCCTGGGCTGGTTTTCAAAAGAACTCAGCCCCTACCCAGACACTTGGATGACTAAGGTTTTCAGGGAGAGGAGCTAAGTGTTCAGTATTTCCAAAGCTTCATCCACTTCATTTAAGTGGCTAAAGGGAGCAGGTTGTGGGGGATGAGTTCTTGAAAACAGAACACTCAACGTTTTTTCAAATCTGACTAGTAATGAGGCAAAGGACTAATTCAGCTGGCTTGTGCAACTGTGAATGTTGGTATTTTGTGTCTTCAAGAGCTTTGCTTTGTACCTTTGATGTCCTCTTGAGTGGCAAAGTATTTGCTAATGTCCTTTTAAGGTGTTGCTATTTATTTAAAGGAAGAAAATCCATACCCAGAACTAGTTATGTGCAAGAATAATGTATCGTGACTAGCAACACTGGCCTGATCCAAAGCCCTGAGGTCCCACTGGAGAAGACGAGTGATCTGGTGGACTTTACAACTCCCAAGTCCTAGGCTGAGTCAAGTCTCTACTCTGACACAGACCTCCTAGATGACCCCAGACAAATCACTTTCTGAGCTCCAAAATGACCGCACTGCTCTACCTCACCAGGAGGGTGTGAGGTGCTCAGAGATCACACTAATAGGAGCTTTCTAAATAACTGAATGAGCTGGTTGGGGGATACAGTGTAAGCACATGGACAGACAGAGTACATGCAAAGTGCTTCAGATCCCACCCTGATCTGAGACTCTTCAGTTCCATGTGAACATACTGACTTTTCCCAGCTGAAGTGGCTCCTAAGCGCCAGAGCCAATGCTGCTGAGACACTATGGCCACAGGGGCTAGCAAGCAAGCATCTTAACATGGGTGTCCTGAGGGAAGGCCCAGCACACTACTTCCAGCCAGCCAGACCAGGCTGTGGGGCAGGAGCAGGGCTCCATCCAGTAAAGCCCAGCCAGAATAAAATACAGTGTGTTAATTTGTTTTTAAGCTACAAAAGCTTTGTATTAAAACTTCAAAGGCTGGGTGCTGTACCTTTGGAACACAGCACACCAAGGAAGCTCGGTGAAAGAAACTACGTGCTGTGAGGGAACCCTACATGAGATCTGGCCCTGCCAGCAAGGGGTCACTTTGTCCCTTAGGAAGGAATGAGAATGTCTAACAGCCCCCTCCAGGCTTTACACTGGCCCTTTTCCAGCCCTCCTCTTGAAGCTGTGTCTCTGCAACTTGCGCTGAATGGTCTGGGAAGGTGTCTGCCCCTCTGGGAGCAAAGATCCAGGCCAGCATCCATCTCACTGAGGCACAGCCTCTAGTTTGCTCCTTTCCTCCTGGCCCCATATACCTCCCACTCTCAACTGTTCAGGGGGCCAGCTTCAAAGGGAGCACTGGAGAAAGACCTAGTTAATGCCTGATGTGCAACATGGTGATTGGAGCCCTGTGCTAGAAACTGGAGAGAGGCAGCTCCAAGCCCCTCCTGAGTGAGGTGGGGTCTCTTACTTCCTGGGCAAGTGGCCTAACTACTCATCTCCTGGGGCTCTCCTGCACCCACTAGTCATGGGCTTTTGCCAGGTAGAATGTCATGATTTCTGCTTACCCAGCATACACGTGTATGTACTGATGTAATTGCATCCTTGCCTAGACAATCAGTGTGTAGCCTACTGTGTATGGTCAGTAACATGTGGGTGCTTGTGTGTCCCCAGTGTATGAAAAGCAGGATCACAAAGTATGCATCAATGCCAAAAATGGCAGCTACGTGGCTGGAAAACTGTAAGGTGAAATAGGATTCTGCCCTAAACCCACAGATTTTCAAATACAAGTGCTTCAGACCTGGAATCCAAACCCACCCTTAAGCCCTGATCTTTTACATTCTGCAAGAGGGTTCTGTGCGTGATTTCAGAAAAGCAAATTACTCACAGCTCTCACCAAAACCATAGGAGCTGCAGCTTTCAGTGCCTCTCAGAAATCAGCTTGACCACTTAGGTGCCTACATACCATTTGGATGCTTAATGCTCAACACACCAGACTCCAGAAACATACGTGCTTAACTTTATGCACTGTAAATGGACTCTGCGACTTTGGTGGGAGCACTCAGACTGAATGGAGTCATTTTGTAAGGTAAGCACCTTAGTTTGAAAATGATAGCCCTGTTCACTACCAAATTTAATCAGGTTTAATATTAATATTAAATTAATAGCATCCCATTCTCTCAGTCATTATTAAGCTCTGATAGTCTTCTATTATTGTCATTATGGTAAGAGTCACCAGATGGCACTGTTATACACATAGTCTCATGTCATGAGTTCCTTTTACTGGTGTGTAAGCAGTGCAGTCTTGGGAAAAATGTTCTGTTGTTAGATTTGTAGTGATATTTCTTTTTGGTGGTGCTGTTGCTAACAGTAGTAGAATTTGCACTTACTCTTCCTAGAGTCGATGTTTATGCCAGCATTGTCTTCAGGGAAGTGGGTTTTGATTTTCTTGTTCAGATTCCTGAAGCAGTGGATTAGCTTGCATGGCGTTCGGTCATCTTTGTACAGGGACAGTCATACATAGACACCTGTTGGAAAGAATGTGTTGAAAGAAACTTTAGTGGGACATTGCTCTTTTTCAAAAAGAAAAAAGGTAGAGATCTCCAAGTGTCAGACACATTTCATTGAAACCATTTTTTAAAATAAGTTTGCTTTTTCTTTTTTCCACAAAAACCAAACTATTCAGAGGAAATTTCAGAGAGAAAGAAAAAAAACACAACATTTTTTAAAACATCTCCAAAAACTGTTGACATATTAGACTAGCTCCAGTGCAGAGCGTAAACCAAAAAACATCCCTGAATCTGCATCACTGATTTCTTTTTCACAGTGAAACCAAACTGTAAGGCCCTACACTGTGTTACCATTTCACAGAGAGCCAATGCTATTCAGAAACATTTCTATTATGACTTAAAAGCCTCACCTGAGATCAGGACTTAGTGATGCCAGGGGCTGTACAAAGAGCAAGAAACACTCCCTACCGCAAAGAGTTTGTATTAAAACTAAATAAGACAAAGGGTTATAAAGAAAACCGAAGCAGAGATGGGTGAAGCAACGTTTTTTACCAGGGAAACTGGCAGAACCAGGAATATCACCCACATGGGTGGATCTAAAATTTTTAAAAGGGGAGTGCAGATGGTGCAGTGCATCATCACATCTAACCCAACAACATATTTTTTTCCAGTTAAAGAGAAACTAGAAGCTTTATTAATATGACAGGGGCTAACACTATATTATTTGGTTTAAGACCAAGCACAAAACAAATACAACTCTTGGAATGTGCATTAATTTGCTAGAGTATATATAAAGTTTAAAACTCCAACGGCTATCAGATCCCAGTATAAAGATTCATGTCTATCCAGAACTGGAGGAAAAGTTCCCAGCAAAGCATCTTGATGCCCATGTTGCTGGGGTCATCTGACCCCAGCGGCTTTTCCTGCCCAAGTGCAGGGGGTCTGGACCCGATGATCTGTAAGGTCCCTTCCAGCCCCTACCATCTATGACACTAGGCAAAAAAATAGTCACAGGATACTGTATTGTCAGTCCTGTAGTCATTACAGTTAAATGCGTGTCTTTTATTCAGATACATTAAAAAAAATAAAAATCTAGCCTTCTTGAGTGCCTTGACAATGCCTCCAATATTTCACTGTCATTCATTTTTCTACCTCCGTGTCCATATTACCTCATCTGAGTTCAGGTTTTTAGCTAGAGCTGAAAACAGGTTGCGGGGCTGTAAAATAGGAGAGACATTACCACAGATCCTGGTTTCCTCTGATTTAAGATAATCCCCAATTTTCAGTTAAAGAAAGTAACCCCGCATGCCCATTTTTCCGTGATTTTAACGAAACACCATCTATATAGAGATATAGATATATATATATAGAGAGAGAGAGAGAGAGGTGTGTGCACATATATATGTGTATGTGTATATGTATATATATGTGTGTATATATGTATAGATGTGTGTGCATGTATGTGTGTGTGTAGTGGTGTTTTGTTTTAATCATTGAACAATGTGGATTTGGGGGTTACTGGTTTTTAACCGAAAATTGGGGATTTTTTTTTAACTCAGAGAAGCCCAGGGTCCCTGGACATTGCCAGGAAGTTAGGCAGCTTGCAAAGGGAAGACGTTCTTCCTCAGGTGTGAAGACCGGAAGCGGGGCGCAGCTGCCCAGCTTGCTGAGGAACCGCGTCTGCCATTCGGACGCTCGTCCAGCTTTCTCCCAGCGACGTAGCTGGTGCAGTAACAGAGAAGGCCCTAAGAAATCCTTGCCCCCCCGTGTCGTTTCGGGCCCACCAGGGCTACAACGTCACTATTTCACTCCCATTATCCGGACGGGACAACAGACAGCAAAAGCGCAGAGGAACGGGTAGCTGCGTTGGTGGGACGTCAGGACCATTGAAAGGGACGGAGGTTGTTCACCCTGGCGGAGTGGAGAGAGATTAACAGGAACCGGGAGAGGACAGAGTCAAGGGGCTCTCTCAGCCCCTCTCAATAGAAACGCGGCGGTGGCTCCTGCCTGGCGCTTGGTTTTAAACATTTGGGTGGAGCAGAAATCAAAGGGGGGGCACGCAGCCCCCCATCACCCGCTTATGCTGCTGCCACAGCTTCCCCGGCGGGCTGCGCAGGGCCCGGCTGCTCTGGGGGGCCGTTAGAAAGCTTAGGACAAGGCCCCACGTGCAGCGAGGCTCACGTGGCAAGTTCACGGGCCAGCGCAGTGGACGTGCAGGGATCCGAGCGCCCCGCGGACCCACCCCACTGCGTCCCCCTGGGCCTCTGCCCCTCCAGGCTGGAGCTGAAGGGGTTAACTGCACGGAGCGCGCCCCCCCTTACCCACCCAGAAATGACACCCCCTTTCCCCTCAGGGGAAATGGTTTAACCCACTCCATCTCAAACAGCATTCTACCCCTCTTCCTCGGGGCGAGTGGTTGGATCCATCCTGTCTCCCCCAGGCAGCTTGTTTAACCGCAGCACATTCCTCCCCGGCGCAGGTGGTTTAACCCGCTTTCCCCCTGCACTTGGTTTAAACTGTGCCTGCCCCTTCTTCCCAGGACAGGTGGTTTGCCCCTTTCCCAGGTTGGTTTAAACTCCTCCTCTAGCAAGTTGGTTCCTTCCAGACCACTTCAAGGATGGTTCGCCCCACACACACCCCGCCCCGTCCTTCCCTTCCCGCAGATGGTCTCTCTCGCCTGAAGCGGGAGGCTCCGCCCTCTCTCCCGTGCCCTTGCTTCACGTCCCCGCAGCATCACAGCTCCGCATTGGCTCGGCGGGAGGCGGCCGA